TTTATATATCAGAATGTTTATCTGTATGTGGTGTATGTACCTTATAGAAATTCTCAATTCTGAACTGATCCGCACTGAATTTGGTGCAAGTACGTTCAGAGAAGATAGAACTTTTTCCAACTTCCAGAACTTTTTTTGGTAGAAACTTTTTCCAACTTACTTCCGAATCGCATGCTAATCCCAAAGGAACGGTATTTAATAAAAAATTATATTATGAGTGATTTTTCTAGCTTGCAGCTCTAATCAATCAAAAATTAATCTTATTGAACATTCTTATGAATTATTTTACTTCGGCTTTCCATGTTATGTTACTACAAGTAAAATTAACGTTAATAATTTCGGAGCGTTTGGGAATGACGTCACCGAATTTATATATGAAACCACGAGATATTATATTATGACATTTACTTTTGTAAAACGTGTTTCTGTAAACCTATTTAGTGGAAACAAAACAAGAACTAATGAAATAAAATTGAAAATAATCTACTAAGCCATGGAAAAATTATGGTTAATTCTGAATATCACATTTTTGATGATACTAAGTTGCAAAAATATTTATTTTAGTGAGTTCAATTTCTAACTCAAATTATGATAAATCTAATCATATGAATTCGCACCGGAACACACGGCAAATAATAAGAAATTAATGTTGTATATATGTGCCACGAATGTGTTGTATGGTGATAGTATGATATTTATCTGTCTTGAGGGCAGTAAAAGATCTATTACCCCAGTATCTAGATTATGCAACTAGGTATAATAGGTTCTCATAACCACAGCATTTATAACAGGAATACCAGTTGTATTTAGAACGACATTTACTTAAGCATCAGTGGAGTCAATAATATTCTGCAGATTTTTTACGGCCCCCGAAGTAAGTACCGATATTAATATTAGTTCGCTCGCCAAAAATGATATGAAAAATATTAGCGTCATAACTAATTATTATCGAGAACTACAATTAATTAATTTGCTAATAGGCACGATTTGAAATAAAAAACATGTTGCATTTTAAAATGCTACATTATGGAGAAAAGGTATAAAGTATAAAGTAAAAAATTAAAATGAAAGAATTAGCTTTGAACTAAAAAGCTAAATTAATGGAGAAATGACACTTATTCGTCCAGGAAAACCATATAAAATCCCCTTATTATTATTATTATCACCAATGATGCATAATCAATTTTAATAAGAGGCTCTTATGTAGAGAGATGTTTTTAAATAAGTACTAAACATACCAATAGTGGTACCGATATACATCTGTGGAAATAGCTTTTTAAAGCACACCAAAAGAGTAAATTGTTGCCTAAGGTAATTTTTAACTATCATGAGTTGACCTCGAGCAATATCATTATGCCAAATGATACTGAATATAATTAATCATTATCTTAATAGGATTGTAGTGTATCTACCACTACAAAAATATAATTCTAGTTCATTAGTATATAAGACACTAAACTCTATTCTATGTTGGGGTACCTTTTCATAGATGAAGTATGACATTGTCGATAACTGTTCTTCCCACATTGGTGACCCGGACGTGATGTGAACACGTATACCTTAGCAGAAACTCTCACTACGATTTGAACACGCCTTCTTCTCCTATGGATGGTCCACATTGAATTGTTGACTTGTTACTTGTGGCTGCGACATTGTCCTCCTCAAGCTGTTGCTTCTCAGTCTTGATTACACGCAACGTATACATTCGACAGCTGGGGGCAACTCAAGAGCAACCTCGACCGTGACTTTAATACAACTCTCACAATCAATACTAAAAAAAAGTATGGTGATCTAAATACAGCTCTCCCGGCTTTTCGCGAAACTGCTATGAGTCAACTAGTAGTATCCGTTCTTCGAATTCTATCATTCAGATATAATTTTGGTAGGGGAGTACTGTAGTGTATCTATCACTACAAAAATATAACAATATAAGACATGTTAACTCGATTCTATGGTGAGGTACCTTTTCATAGAAGAAGGTTGACATGGTCGATGTGACTCTCCCCACAAGGATAAAAACCTAAAAACATATTTTGCTTAGTCTGACAACCTCAAGAGACCAGGAATTGCAACAAATTATAGAGATAAAAAATACATGGAGTTGTTTTAGCTTAATTAATTGTGTTGATATGTGTTTTTCAATTTTGTGCATGATTTCGTAACGTTGATTGATACTAATTTATTGAGCAATTACTTTTTTCCACTTATTACGAAGAACTGGTATTCAGCTAGTATATTATATAAAAAAAAGATACTATACTTTAAAAGTGTTGCATAATTTCTTTCATTGTCTCTATTCTTGTTTGAGGAGTGTTTCATCATTTTAAAATTTAAACTCTTTTTAATTCGTTTCCTAAAAAAATTATTTTTTACATCACCAATAGATGAATTTAGATTGCATCTTCTCTAAAAAATCCTAAAGCTAAATTAAAAATTATTCTAAGTAATATTTAAAAACATTCTACTATAATATATTTTCTTTATTGAAACTTTTACACTGTACAGTAAATTTTAATAACTTAGTTTTAGAATAAAATTTAGTTTTAAAAATCTAGTTTACCGTTAAAGGCTTAGAAGGCTTGGTTAAAGTCAATGAATCTTCAGAACCAGAAAAGTAAAAAATTCTCTTATTTAGTTAAATATTGCCATATTCTTACTGTCGACAATAATTACGACGATACTGATTATTACTGATTTATAGGTATAAATTGAAATAAGTTTTGCGCTAAAAAGCTAAATTAATGAAGAAATGGTACTTATTCGCTTAGGAAACCATATCAACCAATTTAAATTTAAGTATTAAATGCAATAAATTTGAATATTTTTAAAATATTGCCTACTGAGAGCTTTCTTGTTAACTCTTAAATTATACTTAATTTTGTGTTATGAAAATGCAGCCAAAAGAAGGCAACTTTTATAAAAGTGTGCTTAATTTTGAAATAAAAGCTTGCTGACATTCTAAGGGGCCAACAGCTTTACGTCTTTTTGTTTCAAGAACTTCAATGTTTAAAAATATCAATTTCGTTTTTTAAAAAATTTTTTACAACTAATTTGTCAAAAATTATCTTTGTAAATTCCAATTTACATATTTATCTTTTATGTAACAATAAAGTATTGTAAATTTTCATTACAGAAGTATAATAATTTTAAATAATTGCATTTAAAATAATAAGTATAATTTTAATGATGAGTATAATTATTTAAAATGATAAGTATCATTTAATTACACTTAGCATTGTTTATAGAAGCCTATTTGCCGAGGAAAATAAAAAAGCACAGTTTAAGTGCTTCAAAGTTTAGGTGAACGCGTATTTTTAAACTATATTTGCTACTTTTCGGTTAATCACACAAAAGCAAAAAGTCACTGAAAAAGGTGGATCTTCACCAAATTGAAAATTTTTTTCTACTTTATTCATTTTTTAAACACATAAAACTTTTAATAAAAAAATAATAATAAAAAAATAAATAAATTAAAAAGTAGTTGAATTTCCTTGCTCCTGGCTAACCGAAAAGTTCCCATTTACTATCTTGTAGGTAAAACTTGGAGAACGGGCAATTAATTTAAATATTTTAAAGCATAGTAAACTTTTTTAAAAATCTCCAATTTGGCATAATTTTTCAATTTAGATAAAAATTATCAGAATCAATGAATAATTTTCAATTTTCGTAAAATTTTATGAGCCGAGATAATGCAATATTTAATTAACTTCTTAAAATATTAAAAATTCTGATCAAAAACTCCTTTTTTTTAAACACAGATGGTCTTTCTTCATATTGACGTTCTGTGCTACTTTCAGAATCAGCGTAGAGGGCGCTGACTAACTATAGTCACTTGGCTTAACAGTTACGAATAACTGTTACAAACTCACAGAAATTATAAAAATAACACAGCATTTTAAAAAAGCGTTATTTTAGACCCTTCGAAAAACAACCTTTCAACTTGAATTCCTTGCTAGATGACAATGTGGGTGTCAATTGATTCCAGTCTGTTACAAGCAGAATTTAATATGATTGGAAATTTCGACATATATTCGACTAACTTAAAATATTTAAATTTTACAGAGCTTTCATGAAAATACAAGTTTCAATCAATTCAAAACCTATAAATTAAAATTTATTACTCTTCCACTAACAATTAGAATTTCTATCATTTTCCGAATAGCTAGAGTGATCAAATTTGAATTGAAGCTCTCTGCTGGATAGTGATACAAGTTAAATTTTTCCTTACTAATACAGTTATAAATTATCAAATTTTTTTCACCCAGCAAAATTACTTTATGTTCAATCTAAACTCAGCCTCTTTCTGTGATTAACAAATTATTAGACACAAAACTAAGGGAACTGAAAGGAAGAAAATAATAATTTTTTCTCTCAAAAGCACGTTTTTTTTAAGTAGACTAACAAAAAGATGTTTTTTCAATTTGACATAAATAAGCCTCTTAAAAGTCCCTTTTTAGTACTTTTCAGTTTTTTGTTTTCTTTAGTTCTCTTGAGAAACATGATTTTAAAATTCTTTAATTTTATTTTGAACAGCAATCAGTACACTTATTAAATACCGAAATATTCAATTCATACCTCACTGCGACTTTGAGTAAACCTGTATGACAACTCTGAAGATCCACTTTGCGCAATGGGATACTCTCGACTTAGGAAGAAGAAGACCGCTGATACGCAACCAC